TGAAAAACGTTTTCCTCAAGTCTCCTCTAAACTTTTTGCTCCTTATCTTAAAGCTGTGCCCCCAGATTATTGACCCCTCGACTAAGTGTAAAGTTTCTCTAGCCTCCCTGTGATCCTTAGAACTTTGTACACATCAGCGTTGTCTCCTCTCAAGAAAACAAGTCCCATCTATCTGGAGCCTCTTCATAGCTAAATTACTCCAGCCCATGCAATGTCCTGGTGGACCCAAACAGAAATTGGTGGAAAACCTCAGCAGGTCTGACAGCATCTGTGAGGAGAGTAAACATTTTCTGTCCAGTGACACTTTTTCAGAAAAAGAACCAGTTCTGAAGAAGGGTCACTGGACGTAAAACGTTGATCCCGTTTTCTCTTCACTGATGTCGCCAGACCTGGTGAGTTTCTCATTCTGTTTTCGATTCTGATTTCTAGCATCCGCAGTTCTTTGGTTTTTTTGGTTTAACATCCTGGTGAATCTCCTTTGCACCCCGCGCAATTACATCCTCCCTGGAATGTGACGACAGAACCGCATACAGTGCTCCAACTGGGGCCCAACTAATGTTATATACAGCTCCATCATATCCTCCCTTCAGGATTCCCAGGCCATAACCAATGTCTTGACAAAAAAAGGCAAATATTATATTCTCACACTCACCAAAAGCAGGGAGGTGTGTCTTATCTACTTCCAGTGCTTTTTGCTTACCTCTCACAAGTGTGATAACGACCTGCACTTGGCCGAATCACACAGTCTCCCCTGGGTGAGGATTCTTATAGCAGACTCCATATAGGGAGGGAAGCTAAGGGCATTCAAACTATTACTGCGGGCTTCACCACCTCCAAGATGACCAGCCTGGATTAGGAATGACGACCATGACCTCAAATTTAATTTTTCCCTTGCTTGAAATTAGTTTCTACCTTCTCATCTCCCCTAGGGCGGCACTGTGGTTCGCACTGCTGCGTCACAGCGCCCGGGACCCGGGTTCAATTCCACCTTTGGGTAACTGTCTGTGTGGAGTCTTCTCCACATGTCAGCATGGGTTTCCTCTGGGTGCTCCGGTTTCCTCCCACAGTCCAAAGATGTGCAGGCTAGTGGATTGGCCATGCTAAATTGCCCATACTGTTCAATGATGTGTACGATTAGGTGGGTTACATGGAAAGGGTTGGGGGATGAGCCTGTGGGTGGGACGCTCTGAGGGTGGTAGAGTTGTTGGGCCGAAGAGCCTGTTTCCACACTATCGGAATTATATGGTAATATTTTCTGGTCAACCTGTCCAGAGATGTTATAATACACCCTTGGATCGTTTGGGACTTAAACCTGGGTCTCTTGGTCCAGAGGTAGGGACGCTATCACCATGCCTAAAGGAGCCTTACCCCCGAACGTCCCAAAATTCCCCATCACATCTGTCTCAGCTGTATTTGATAATATTGCCTTGTGATATTCTCGATCGCATTTACTCGAGTTCACAGCGACTCCTCAATCTGAATATTGACATCAAGGAGACACCAACGTTTCAAATTTCGTCAGCCATAAATAAACAGAGGATTCGAAATGATTGAGCACAGCAAAGAAGTGTGCGTGTGTATGTGTGTTGGGGGGGGGGGGGGGGCGGTCCTCTGAAACGGGATACACACTGTATTTCCCATAGGGACACTGCCAGAGGGAGAGCTCTAGGAAACGCGGTACCTGCCCCATGACAGTTTCGCATTAGAAGGGAAACCAGGCCGTGCCAGCCTGTTCCACCCTCTCAGGGACTTCACCCTGGCACTGCCCTCTCCCCTCAGGGTGGTTGAAGCGTGCCCCTTGTATCCTGCTCCAAAGGGGCACTGCTCACTACCGCCGCCAGAGATTCATCTCCAAACGCTCACACATCGCCATCTGTGGGGGGACACGGGGAGGCTCCGGCTCGGACAGCTGCTGTCTTCCATCCCTCACCGGGACCTTTCTCTTCCCCCCGGAGCTCACGGACTCGGCTCCTTGTCGGGCGGGGGTGGGGGATCCCCGGCTCAGCTCCGGAAAAATAGTCTCAGCCAATTGTTCACTGCAACTCAATCACCGCCTACTCCCACTGGCTGAGATCTGATATTTATACTTTATGTTCATATATGTATATTCAAAGTGCACACTGATAGTTTATATATATCAGAACATACACAAATGGACTCTACAGAGATGTGTGTGCATATTTGAAGGGGAGTTTGACATTTTACATATCGAATACACGTTGACAGCTTGTATAATACTTTATATATCAGAACATACACAAATGGGCTCCACAGCAATATGCGTATATTTAAAGAGGAATATTGACATTTTTATATATAGAGTACACGCTGACAGTTTGTACAACAGTTTCTATATCAGATTACACACAAGTGCATCGATATACTGACGTGTATTAAATTTCAGGATGAATACTGATTTATACACAGATATGTACGCTCCTAGTTGAGGTGTACATTCAGAGTACATCCTAGAAATTTCGAGAGTGAAATTGTCTGCCTCGGAACGTTCACTGTTAGCACTTCAAAGTGCAGCAGAAAAAATGCACTCACACCGCACACAGACATTACCGAGACATTACATCCGCCCCTCATTTCCCAACACGCCTGGAAGTCCCTCAATTTTGCCACTCACAGTATTGTAAAGTTAATGATCATCTCCCCGCACACTGCTAAACTGCAAAGGGACGTCTGCAATAAATACTGAGCCCCTCTGGGCTCTTCCGCGATGATTTGGGGGTGTGGAGGAGGGAACTGTGTGTGTGCGTTGACCGGGGGTCCTTCCACATCAGTTTAAGACGGGCTATAGGTCTGTCGAGCCAGCCTGAAGGCACACTTGTTACGGGGCAATGTGTTAAACAGATGTGAGATTACCTCTTCCCCGCACAGACTTCCCGACAGCAAACATGCAATTATGTACAATCTGGCCGGGTTAACACTTACCTGAGCGGTCACAAGTCTATCCCGAAACACAAGAGGCGGCTGCGAGCGAGATGGACTCCTAGAGACGGACTGTCCTACCATCCCCGGCCACACAGAATGAAAATAAAACGGAGCACCGGCAGTTTTTGTCTGCCCTGGGACTCCGGTGTGAGTGAAACTGCAGAGAGATAGAGAGAGAGGTTGGGGAGAGACAGAGACAGACAGAAAGAGAGAGGACAACAGCCGTCTGCATTCTCTTTTGTGCAGTCAACCCCTTCGGCAGATTGGACAGTGAACCAGGTTGTCGGGCATCACCTAGGCAAACAAAATGAAAGTATTTCAGCACCGTCTGACGGTGGTAATCCCACATACTTAAGACTTGTTCCTCGCCAAACCCGGGAGCGGGATTTTCCTGTCGACTTTTGAATTTGGCATCCGCAACATGCACTTCAAAAACCCCGAAAGGGAGTTTTCCAAAGGATCATTGTAATAGTTCCTGTATGTTAATAGTTCGCTGAAATCTGTTGTTTGGATTATGAAGTCTAATTCAAAATACACGCTAAATGCTCCGGAACCTTGCGTGTATCGCTCTCGGTTCAAGGACTGGTGGACATATCAATCATCAAGGTACAGACTGTTCAAAACATTCACACTGCGGGCCAGGTGAAAGAGTCCGAACTACCTTTCGATATCTTAGAATACATGCTGTCACCTGTTACCTCCCACCTCTCCCCAGATTTCACAGAAACTAAATGGTGTTAGAGACCAGACCCGTGATGCGGAGCATCAGGGCGCCAGCTAAGCAAGGGGCATAAGTAAGTGACACCTGGGTTAAACGCTACATAAAAATCCCATGCTTAGCTAATGGGAAAGGTTGTCAGGGGTTGAGAATGGACGAGCTTCGTTAACATATCAACGAATCCAGCCTCGGAATTATCAGAGGGCACTAAGCCCAGGGGCAATAACCATCGCCCCGTGCCCACACTGCACCCAGTCTCAGATGCATCCTGTCACATTTGCACCTATTCCCACACTGGGCCCTGTTACATACTGTATCGTCACATAGTCACCCAATCAGATACGGCTCCCGTCACACATGCACCCTGTCACATATTGCACCCTTTCACATATGCACCTTATCACATATTGCACCCTATCACTTGTACTGTCATATAGCCACCCTGTCACATATTGCACCTTGTCCCATACTGCACCCTCTTACATTCTGCATCCTACCATATATTGCACCCTGTCACACATTGCACCCTACCATATATTGCCCCTGTCATATATTCCGTCACATATTATACCTTACCATATATTGCACCCTGTCATATATTCAACCTGTCACATATTGCACCCTACCATATATCGCACCTTGTAACATATTGCACCCTGTCGTATATTCACCCTGTCACATATTGCACGATCATATATTGCACCCTGTCACATATTGCACCATGTCACATTTGCACCCTGTCACCTTTTGCACCGTCACATATTCACCCACTCACATATTGTACCCAGACATCTGTATTCCCTCGCACCGAGGTGGTTTAAACGGTCAAAGGTAGATTGCTCGATACCTTGCTCTCCCTGATTGCAGGAAAACTGCTGGCCTCCTCAAAACTAACCGCCCGATCCTGCGGTGAAACCTGACGTCAGTGAACCCAATGGGACTCCCCTCGGTTGGAATAGTGGGAAAAGTGGGAATTTGGAGCCAGCTGGAGATCGCTGCTCGGCCCCGCTCTCCCCCAATGCAGGAAAGCCGAATGAGGTAGAGAGGAGCGTCAGGAGAGGGCTTGTGGAGCTAGGAGGGGCTAGTTCACTCTGTCAGCGACTTGGTGCTGGATGGAAAGGCTGGAGCGACTCAAACGCTCCCACCTGTCAGAGGTGCATGTGCGATTTATTGCTGAGCCTGGGAAGCATCGCCGGGTCTCATTTATTTCGTGTCTCTTGATGGCTCCGAAGTGACAGATACTGGGAGACTGCTGCTGCCTTCACGGGGAGGCGAAAAAAGGACAAAACTCTCTCTCTCTGTCTGTCTGCGTCTCTCAGCTTTCTCTACAAATCCACTCTCTCCACTTTCCGGCTCGCTTTCTCCTTAACATCTCTCCTGCCCAGAGATGCCAACGAAACTACTGGCAGCTTTCTTGTTACTCTCAGTCTTCCAAGCGTGGTAAGCAAATATTATGTGTATTATTGCCTTAAAACAGACAGTGCAGCTTGACTGTGCGAGTGATGGTTGTTTCTGTCTGACTGCTTTATCAATCGGCGCTGTGGATGTTCTCCCCCTTATTTTTTCTTAAAAAGTTGTGAAATGCACAGGCTAAGTAGTGAAGCTGATGGGAAGCGGCGGATTTTGGTCTATAGGTCGTCTCCCACCCACACCCCCCACCACTAACCACCCCCGAGCATTATTTCTGATGTCGCAGTTTATGGTCTGATGCAGGGCTACAGGCTCAGTCCTGTTTTGTTTTGTCTCTATCGCGGTTTTTTTGGGGCTCTGGAAAGTGGGATCTCGCCCACTCAGTCTGGGTGATGGGTTAGTAAAGTGAAACGGAAAAAAAAATTCTCACTCCACGAACTCCGAGTTCAGCCGCTTCAAAGAAATAGGCTCAACACTGTCAAACCGGGGGGTGGTGTTTAATTCATCCCAGCCCCATGTTGTGATTTCAACCGGATAGTTTAGCGGTGTCAGAAATCCAGAGGACATCTCCTGTGAATGCAAAGGGGTTGCGTCGAAGCTACAAATCTTCCCTGAGAGACCTGTGTGTCTGAGCGAGGACCCTCAGGCAATGGGCACAGGGTTAACTGAGCATCTAATCGTTACCATCATCTGATCATACATTATGAAATGATGGAAATTAATCTTACAGAGGCCGAGCGGCAGAAGCTGGAACCCATCCAGGTCCCACGGCTGAGTGTCTGAGCACAGTAAATAAACAACCACTGAGTGTATTTTGATATTAGGTTCTCTATTTGCAAGGCGCATAATGGAAACACCAAGAGCTGCTTGGCAGTTGCATGCGGTGGATTGCAGGTTTACACTCAGTTGCCACGTACAGATTGGCGCTACCTGCAAGCAGCAGGCAATTTGTGACTTCTGCCTTATTTCCAGCCGGGATTCACTCATTCCAGGCCCGGCACCGATAGCCGTGTGGCATGTGCAACATCGCCTTTGATCTGGAGAGCTGGCCACTCTTTTAACGAGTGAGGCAGAGCGCGCAACGCCATCAAGAAATCAAAATTAACTCCCTATCCTTGTGCTCAAAGGCAGGAGGTAAAAAATGTTCTCAAATGACTTCCTCTCTCCCCTTCCCTTTCTGACATCCGCAAACCCCAAATTCAGAGTTTGAAGGCGAAATGTGTGCCGTTGAAGTTTGGTGGTTGAAGTTAATAAGTACAAAAACAGAGAACCCACTTTTTTTTTGGAAGAGTTAGGGTGAGATGAGAGCTCAAAGTATGTTGCACAACGGATGCCAACTGCAAGTGCAGATGCAAAGGGGCATTGAGTCTGTCTGATCGAGTGTCCTAGATACGTGACCCACTTCTCCGCTTGGGCACCTGTTGCTGCCTGGAGTCGCCCCGTTGATCAAACTCTTGCTTTGTGAACCCTCAGAAGACACGCACACAGAGGTTCGCTTTGAGGGCCATCCGTTCACTCGGGATGCAAGCCACTGCGGTTCCAATTGTCCAAAAGTTTGCAGACGCCCGTCACCGCGGGTTAGCGCTGCTGCCAAATGTGCAGGCAATAACAAGAAGTGCCACATGTCTTCTCTCTCTCGCAGTTCGAGAAAAATCGAGGATGACGAGGACGAAGACCGCACGGTCAACCAGACGTGGGTGCTGACCTCCAAAATGCAAGATAGAGACGCGACCAAAATTTTAAACCGTCTGCTGAAGGAATACGATAAGAAACTTCGCCCTGACATTGGAAGTGAGTACGAGCAGGTATTTTGGAGGCCATGTCCTAGCTCTTGGCCGCTCAGGGAAGTTTTGGCTGTGAAGGTTTTAGGTTTTGCCTGTCTATGGCCGGGGGTACTCATGTGGTGTTTAATAAACAGGTCATGTTTCATAAGCTGGGCTTTCTTTGAACCAGGAATTCTAATATGAAACAAAAACAGACGTTGTTGGAAAAGTTCAGCAGGTCTGGCAGCATCTGTGGAGAGAAATCAGTTAACGGTTCCTTCTGAGGAAAGCTCACTGGACCCAAACATTAAATCTGATTTCTGTCCACAGACGCTGCCAGGTGGTGCAGCAGTCAATTTGGACACAGCAAGCTTCCACACAGAGTACTGTGAGGATGACTAGATCTTTTGTTGTTGTGAATGTTGATTGAGGATAAATACTCATCAGGTCATAGTGGGACAGCAGCCTTCAGCATTTAGACTGAGTGATATGAGGATTACCAACTGAGCCATGACTGACACTGTAACAAATGGCAGAATCGAAATGTTGACCGACAAAGCTTGCTGTCAGACTTAAAGAGCACAACCAAGAATGCAAGATGGCTTAATAGATGCTTAAGGCCAGAACTTAGACATGGCGACATAACACAATTGTTCTCTCCCAAATCTGACCACAACAGAAAATTCAATATATTGGCCACTAAATTCTACGTTGTAGAATGGCTTTGTTTTAATTTAATCTCGAGAATAAAATGCTGTGAAAGTTTTGCCTCACACATGGAATCTCATATCTTGTGTAGTTTGGTAATAGAGTGATTGAGGAGGGAGACTTCAGTGCACTCTGTTAATCAAATATTGAAGCTAACAGTTTTTGCTCCTTTGCAGAAAATAAATTCCATCATTCAGTGTACTTCAATATCACACACCTGTCAGCAAAGATTTCACTGGATTTATCAAAAAAAAGCACAACCTAATTGTCATGCAGGCAGAGTGAGAAAAACTAATTATTTGAAGGTGCATCATTTACTTCCAATACATAAAGAAGTGAAATGTTCTATAATTATGTGCACTGAACTGAACTAGCTGCATGGCAGGATGTAGGGTATGGCATTTTAATATACATGATTTATGGGTCATGTAGATTATTTCAAATGACAGCAGCTTAACCACACAAAACTCATGTGAAATCTTGACAGCATTTCCAGTGAAGGCACTGACACAGCAAAGAAATGGGATACAATTCTTATTTGTAATCACAAATCTTACTTAATGTCAGTGCAAAAAGTGGAATGAGCATCTCGTCTGCTTCAAGTTGTTTGAGTATGTCAATAAAATGCTATATTTGTGGCTGCAAATCACATACAATCAAAGAAAAAGCCCCAGTTTAAAAGGCTGTACTTGAACTGAAGGAATATAAAGCTAAATTATTTTTTGTCAAAATATATATTGTGCACTTGCTATCTTTTAGGTGAGCTTAGTGATTCATTCACACTTTACTTCAATCTTCTGTTAGGCTGTGTAAGTCGTTTCATACCTGAAACAATAATCTGAAAGGTTTTTCAACTTGTCAAGTCCATTTCAGTAAAACACTTAATGTTACTTTACAGCTGCTTTTGTGGTTGACATATTTTCTACATTTTACTATGGAAATAACAAGACGTCAGTGTAAGTGGTAAAGAAAAATAAATTAGACTGCGTAAAACACAGAGCAGAAATGCCTTTCTATCCTGACAGGCTTTTTTGATTAGGCTGTCGAAGTTTTCAATTTCCAAATTCAGTATACGATTATGGAAAGTGTTTCGTGAAGAAAATTACTTGTGCCTCTTAATATATTGTTAATCTAGGTGTTTGTATTATGTGATGCCATTTTAGAGACAAATTCTACACTGCATGAACCCAAAAAGATACCTAATGCCCAATGTTAAGAAGACAAAATTCACACAGTTTTGGATTATTTTGCCCAAGTTGTTGCCCATGATGTTAACAGAGGGATGGGAGGACCTGAAGAATGGAAAGAAACAACCTACTTCACTTACATAGAGCAAACATGATCTACAGGGCACAAGTCAGGAGTGTGACTGATACCCTACACTACCTGGATGGGTGCAGCTTCAGCAACAGCACTGTTTGACACTATGTGAGAAAATACAGACCTCTTGATTGGCATCCCATCTACTTCCTGCAACATTCATTGCCTCTACCACTGATGCACAGTGGCAGCAATGTATACCTTCTATAAAGTGATTAGCAATAATTCACCAATCCTCTTCCATCAGCACATTCCAAACCTACACCATTTATGATCTACAATGACAAGGGAAGCAGATGTATAGGAACACTGCTGCAAGTTTCTCTGCAAACCACACACCGTTTTGACTTAAAGATTTGTCACTGTTCCTTCTCTGTTGCTGCATCAAACACTCTCTCCATTGTGTGTAAGAGGTCAGTTAGCTCAATTGGTTGGATGGCAGGTTTGTAATGTGGAGTGATGCCAACATCATCGGTTCATTTCCTGCATTGGATGAGGTTACTATGAAGGACTGCCTCTCAGCCTCTTGCCTCCCCTGAGGCATAGTGACCCTCAGGTTAAGCCACCATTTGTCATACCGCCCCAATAAGAGAGCAGGGCTGTGCGGTGTCTACAGGACATGGACTGTTGAGATTCAAGAAGGCAGCTTAGCACCATCTTCTTCAGGGTGATTAGGGATGGACAACAAAATGCTGGCTTTGCAAGCAATACCCACATTTCAGGTACAAATATAAATAAATAAACCAGCAGCACTGAAGCTACTTATTCCAACCCAGCTGAAGTTAGAGAAGTGGCTGTACATCTGTCTATTTTTCTGTATATATTAGCTGCCTATTTATAAACCTGCTGGATCATTGAGAGAGCCATTTAGTCACCTTGAAAAATGTCCCACAAAAATAATAATAAAACAGGTTTAAACTGATTGTTGTGTCAGTGTATTTGTAGTCTGGTAGCAAATAGCGTCAAGTCACTTTTCACTTCAAATGCTTTGTGATCGGTTAATTTTAGTTTATTTCAGCTTGTAGTAAAATTAATAGAGCTATCCAAGTCTAACTGCTCTGTTAAAACAGTTGAATACTTTTATAAAATCAAATTTCACTATGATATAGAATTTATAACTTTATCAATTCATATTTATTGATACTCAAATTTCAGATGTCTCTGCAATTTGTATGATTTTATGGGTGCAATTTAAGAAGAGAGTAGAAGAGGATCCATTTGCTGATTAGCAACAATTAACAGAACCAATCTAGTCCATTAGAATTGGTGATTGTGAAGACTTTGATTGCTTAGAAAATGGGTGTGGACATCTCAATGTGTGATTAACCCATGCATTTTGACTGAAACACTAGCGGTATGCCAACTTCTGTTGCTTACTCAACAACTTCAGCTCAGGCTAAACTGGTTGTTGATTAACTGGACTCATCAATGGGGGAGGGGCAATATCATGAGGGGCTGACATCACTTAAAACTAACCAGCAATGTTTAGCTAGCCTGTATCGCTTAAAGGGAAGGGATGTATAGTGGCTGGAACAGGTGGTTGCAGACATGGAAGAAGCGAATCTGACCTGTGAAGGGAATGGTTGACTACCAGGAAGTCTAACAGAAACATTAGTAAACCAGATAGCACTGTTTCCCAAATGTAACAGACTGATACTACGTGAAAGTAAAAATGAGTAGGCTGCACAGTTATTGGATGTAGCCCTTGAGGCCTTGGTTAAGAAGGAGTGGAGAAATTGCATTTATTCATAGTTGGCTAGAAATCTATCTGGACTCAAGATCAATAGGCAATTGGAGCAAATAGCTATGGAAATCAATCATTGAATCATAGAATTTTACAGTACAGAAGGAGGCTATTTGACCGATCATGTCTGTACTGGCTCCCAAAATAGCTACCCAGGACAGAAATCATCCCTGATGACATAGATACAGTGCCATAAGAAGCTCACAGGAGCTGACAGATGAGATCAAGGTCAATGATTGTATCTTCAAATGCCGTATCCTATCAAATAATTACTAGTCCCAGGTACTCCTTAATTCACCACACCTCATTCAAGGAACTTATCAATAATATCTGTTGCTCAGGACTTAGCCCTGACCTGCAGATATACCATCTCACTTTAATACACATAGCACTGCTGCAACCTCTGTAATTGTGCTATCCGTGTAACTCTCAGCCTTGCGGATATGCCATAGTGTCTCTCACTGCAGCTCAAGCTTCTGAAACAAGGAGTTAAATTTTCTACATTTGGGAGCTTTGTTGCATATGTCATTATCTTGGATACCAGAAGAAACCATGACTTCCCACCTATGACATGTCACACACATCACTCAGCTGCCCTCTCCTGACATGAAGTACCATGCAGTTTGAGTGGGAGAAGATGGAATTAGATGTAACTGTATTACAGTTGAAAAAAGGCAATTACAGAGACATGATGGAAGAGCTTGACAGTTGATTGGAAGGGTAGCCCAGCAGGGAAGATGGTGGAGCTGCAATGACAGGAGTTCCTGGGCTAATTCAGGAGACATAGCAGAAATTCATCCCAAAGAAGGAAAAACATACTAAAGGGGAGGACAAGGCAACAATGGCTGACAAGAGAAGTCAGGGACAGCGTAAAAACAAAAGAAAAAGCATAGTGTGATGAAGATTAGTGAGACATTAGCTAGCGATTGGGAAGCCTTGAAAAAACAGCAGAGGATAACTAAAAAAAGCAATAACAGGGTAGAAGATGAAATATGACAGTAAGCAAGCTAGTGATATTAAAGACGGTTGCAAGAAATTTTTCAGATACATAATAGGTAAGAAGCAAAAGCTGACCACTGGAAAATGGGACTGTAGAAGTAGTAACAGGGCATTAAAAAATGGCGGAGGAACTGAATAGATTTTCACATCAGTTATATCAGTTTTCACAGTGGAAGTCACTAGCTGCAAATCAGAACTTCAGGAGAATCAGGGGCAGAGGTGATTGTTGTGTTCGTCAGTAAGGCAAAGGTGGTAAA